ACTGGGACAACGAGTCGCCGGTTGGAATGGGTTCGGGTGTGGTTTCGTTCCTCGAGGGCTTCCTTGAAGAGATTCTCGTCCGCATTGAGGTTCCCACTGACGATGAAAATGATGACGAAGGATATTATCCATCCAAACCAGCCGACTCTGAGGCACACCATGCTAAGAACACCTCTAAGACCTAACCACCCTCGCACTCAACGCATTATTCCCTCTGACTTGCTTGATGCATTACTGCCGAAGACGCTCGAGTCGGCATGTTGATTTCGCTTCAATTCTTTTCACCCGCTTACTTGAGCTTTAAGTGTTCCTTGGGCCGGCTTTCAGGCATCCCTCAAGGAGTTGCAGGCCTTCTGCTTGAGGTGTGCGCAAAGTTTGACTTTCTTGTCAAGCCTTTGTTTCACTATTATTTTGTTTGGCTCTACTTTGCGACACGTGCGAAACCATCCGATTGTCTCCTTTAACTCCAAATTTGTCTGTCTCCCTTATCTTTTAGTGTTGGATTCTAGGCTGGTTCCTCCCAATCTATGTCCCAGAGGCCTTTCTGAATTGATTATCGATAACTTGGGGTCTGTGTCCGCGGGTTCGCGAAGATGAGTGGAGATAAGGCTATTGTGCAAGTGAGAGTGTACAGGAAGGTGACCATGTTAAAACGATTCAGTGACCATGATTAATGAAACAAACCCATTCCGTGCTACTTTTCTCTGGTTTTACCTACTGCTTCGAGGTAGCTGGCTGGGGAAAATCCTTCTATACAGTGAGACATAGTACCAGCGCGATATCGCACTTCAGGCCCTAGTACATATGAAAGAGTAAACGCTCCCTGAAGAGGGGATGCGAGGTGGGACTGGCAAAGTTGTGAGCATGGACATGTGTTCAAAACAATGACCACGTGCCTCTCGCTTGGGGCGAAGTTGACTGTCATCAAGGACCGATGTGCAGCCGGAGCATTACAACTGTGTAGAGCGGAAGCTTTTGGGTCGCAGTCATGGCATCGAACCAATTTGATCGTGTCAGTTCCTGCTGAGTGTAGACCAGACATTATGGCTGGCGATATACTCCCGTGGCCACAACAGGCCAGATTTGACAAGGCACTTGAGTTCACGCACAATTATCTGCAGCTGCCCTGCCTTGGTCTGGCATGATGAAGTTCAAAGCCGAGGTTGTCCACGTATCCTAAGGTACGGCTGCGCACCGCTATTCCTGACAAAAACCAGGTAGCGTTATCTGACTCTGCCAAGTTCAACCCCTTCTAGAAAGGGTGCTAAAGGCTTCATCTCTGTCTGTAGTCGTTGATAAGCTACGGAGTGTCGTTGATAAGCAACGTAGTCGAGACACTTCCGTTCAGCACTTCGACAGAAACCGGATCATGAGAACTGACTTTTTGGCCAAATTTTATCCGCCAGGTCGAAAAAGCCAGTCAGTCTCAGGGGTGGGAATCAGATAATTGGTAATGTTGAATTCATTGGTACAGCTATGTGTATTGTCAATGGTAGAGTTGGTGGGACCGTTTGGACCATTTCCGGTGAGGCCATGTATTGACATTGGATTGTTGACAGGCTCATTCATATCCAGATTCGTCATGTCTGGAGCACGTGTGGGAGGAACACGCGGCACATTGAAGAAGCCAAAAACGTCGAGATACTCAAGCTCATTTGGTGCTAGATTTCGTGACGACGTGGGCATTGTTGGCGCTGCTAGTTGGCTACCCGCTGGAGATGAGCGCGGCTGTCGTGAGATGAGGAAGTCCAGATCAAACGCGCAGCGACGCATGTCTGCGAGAATCTTCACACTGGATGGTGTAGATCGATCGCCATCTGTCGCACCAGATTGCTGATATTCACCATACTCGTCAAGGACACGCTGCAAGATGGTACTATAGCGTTCTGCAACCTTCCAGTATTTGCCCATCTGGGCAAGCGCGTCGACGAAGAATATTATGTCAGGGCTCACTGTATGAGCGATGGTTGAGCCATGTACGAGTAACAGGCGAGCACAGACCCACAGAGTGAATGCAAACGGGGGCCCGAATTTGTCGAGCATATTGTTGTCCACGACGAAACGGGTCACTGAGAGGATATTATCAACAGCTAGCAAGCAGCGTTGGCTGGCACTATACGATGGTGTAAAGATTGGAGACCTCGTAGTCGGGTAGGCGGCGGATGAATGGAGGCGGATCACAGCTCTGTCTCCGGCATTAGTAGTCTGGATAAGGCAATAGGATGATGAACGGATTTCTTACGTTTGAAATGTGGAATGAAGTTGCACCCAGTCACAGTGCAGACTTTTGCTATGCTTCGATCCATTGAACAGCCGCGAGGAGTTTTCATAGGCATATTCAGGGGGTAAGTTAAACTCCCAAGACGTCAACTCATTGTCCAACTTGCGATAGGTTGCTTGCCATCCTTCAACATCGGATAGAGACCCAATATCCACTGGTCTCTTCAAGAAGAGATGTATGCGTGAAAAGATGCCAAGAATCTCCACATACAAACCGAACGACCCAACATTCTGTGCCCGACTCAGATAATCAGGACGTTCACTCGTGTGTTGGAACCATCTCGTCTCTACCGGCTGGTTTTTGGTGAAGTATTCATCCTTGCATGGTAATTTGCGGTCAATGTCCTTGTCATCCAAAGCAAAGTCGAAAGCCGTAGCAATGGTGGAATATCGATCTAAAAGGTATACCATCCAGAACAGTCTGCGCCTGCTTTCATCCTCAATCCACGAATCGGGCTCCGGTAGAGTGACCGCTCTTAAGGTGTAGATGGATGGATAAACAGGGGCGATGAGAGACGACTTAGACTCAACTGCTAATCCCAGCTGGACAACTGACCGTGTGATAAGAGCGAGCAATTTCCAGCCCGGTGGACCATTAGACGATCCCACCAGGTCCAGAGCTAATATCACCAACGCCTGGAGTGCTTTCACCGACGAGTTTTCAAGGCCATACAAGATGACCTTCTGTTTCGAAGAGTCATGGTATCGCTTGCGGTTTTGCTCATTCAGGCGGGGGTCACTCGAGAACCGCAGAGTCGTCGCGACTATAGCATAGAGAACCATACGGTCTGCTTCTTCGAGAGGAGAAGGTCCGAAGAAAGTGTCCAGAGTCGTCCTCCGGTGAAGAATAGGACACCAGGTATTGATATGTTCGAAGTACAAGTCCACCAGTGCGTACAAGAGGTCATACGGTGGCAGATCGAGCTCTGGATCAGCCAGAGAGTGTTCTTGATTAGAGTACAAGTTGACTGGTACCTTCAAGGAAGACTCATTTCCTGTATAGTCGTTATGTGGATTACTGCCCGACATCGAGGAGAGTGGGCCAGCTGAAGAGATGCCATTCGGGACATGGCTCTGCATAGCGTTCCTGGCCGAAGTATCTGAAGGGCTGGTGATTGAGACATCATTGTGGCGAGCTGATAAAGGCGCAGTCGATGTCTCTTGGAAATAGGCTGCGTTACGAGGGCTTGGTCCATGAGCAGCCGAAGGTTCTGACGGAGAACTATACGAATGTGGTCCAGGTTGCGAGAGGTCATGACTCATACTCATACGATGCTGGCTTTGAATGATATGAGTCTCGATGAGCCGGGCTTGCGTCTGAATGACCTGCTCCAGCCGATCTGTCCTTATTAGCGATGAGTACAGGTTGGAGAGGAGAGAGATGAGCATACCAAGCCGCTGCTCCAATTCTTTTCCGTATCCAGCCCGAAGACCAGGCTTCTTCCGTTCCTTGTACTCACACAGCTGGCCATTACGAGCGCACCATCCACAGCTTGGTTGGGCCCGGTCTACAACTGTGAGTCATACGCGCAAAAGGACCAAACCCCAGGGGAGCAGATACTCACCACATTTGACTTTACGCTGCTTGCAGAGTTCGCATCTATAATCCGGATTGAGACGTGTGAATCAGCAGTTGCATAATATTTCTGAAGACATCATCGAATTGATGAAACAGGAGAAGGGAAGGAAAGTAACATACGACACAGTGAGCGGACGTTTCCGTTTCAAGCTTCGGGCTGCATTTGAATCATTTGGCGCGACGCGATCATTATCACTATCGCCAGCAGACCACGACTCATCAGCACTTTGTTCTTCCTTATTCTGATCGCCTGCAACCCGTGCTGGCGGTGGTGGAGTCTGGTGGACAGAAGCTATAGCAGGGTTCGGCATTGTGTTCTAGCGAGTTTCGGGGTTATGGAAAGCTTCCATAAGCAAGAGCAGCACTGTCAACAGCAAGAAGGCATGATCATCGGCAGCAATGCAACAAGACGGGGATGCTGGGTAATGGGTCCAGCCGAAAAAGCAAGTTAATCCGGGGTATCAATGATGATCAATGGACAGAAACCGAGATAGACAGCCGATATCGAGGACAGAGAAAGGAGGGAAGTGAGGAAGGAATCAAAGAATCATGCTTGGGGAAGGCCATCGGAACAATCACAAGAGACCAATGAAATCGCCCTCGGCAGTGCCTGAGGCAACACCCTTTCCCCCCCGCAAAATAACTAAAATCCCCACAAATAACATAACCACGAGACCGGTGACGGCGGGTGAGAGCTGGCCTGAATTAATCATGATTGCAGAGTACCGTTAGATTCCTTGCACCTAGGCTATCTCAGACTAGCAAAGGTATCTGCAATTTCTCACTGAAGCAGAATGACCAATAATAGGCAGCTCCATCGCGAAAGCGGACGGACAGTGACTCTTCCATCTTTCCGGCCGATACCTTACCTAACTTAGGCTACCTAACTTACTTAGTATGGTAAGGTACAATTGGGTAGGTCCCTGGCCAATCAGTCGGGTTGGTCTCGGGCAAGCAATGCCCCGAGGTAAGCATATGCCGGAGTATGATGGTCATGACCCCCTCGATGCATTGTCGGGATGGTCGCTTTCAAATATGGCCGGTTTTCCACTTATCATCATGCTAGATTATTGAGTCCGTATCTCTCCCTTCTCTTTCTTTTTCTCCGTTCGCAACTTGTTCAACTCCTCCCTATCACACCATGACTCTCAAATCGACCTTTCCCCGCATTAAAGAAGTCCGGACTTTCATCATCGATGGAGTTGGATCTGGTGGAGATTATCACAATGTAAGTATTCTTTTTTCCCAAAGACTGCATTTTGCGCTCTTGGCTTTCCCGATTGAAAAAGCGTGATAGCTGGGACGAAATGCGTTGGCTAAATATACCTCCTCATCATAACTTAGGTCAAAGGTGGTCACTGGTTGGTCGACAGTGACATCTCCACTCCCATGACAAAATGGGCGCAGTATCGCGGTTCCCGGACATCGTGGGGTATCAACGTCTTGGGATCTTTCTGCGTTGAAATCGAAGCTACCGATGGTACCAAGGGTTTCGCCACTGGATTCGGTGGCCCTCCAGCCTGCTGGCTGGTACATCAGCACTTCGAGCGTTTCCTGATCGGCGCTGGTAAGTTACTTTGTTTTCGTCCCAAGAAGGTTGATTGCGGGCGGTTCAACAACCAGCGATCGAGAGAAGCTGACCTGATGTCTAAACGATAGACCCTCGTGACACAAACGATCTGTTCGAGAGGATGTACCGAGCCTCTATGTTCTACGGCCGAAAGGGTCTTCCTGTCGCTGTTATTTCCGTCATTGATTTGGCTCTCTGGGATCTCTTGGGGAAGATTCGCAACGAGCCTGTTTATAAGCTCATCGGCGGTGCTACCCGTACGCGATTGCATTTTTACTGCACCGGTCCTCAACCTGCAGCAGCCAAGGCAGCGGGTTTCATTGGCGCAAAGGTGGCCCTGCCTCATGGGCCCGATGAAGGTACGGAAGGATTGCTCAAGAACGTAGAGTACCTCCGCAAGCAGCGTGAGAGCGTCGGCCCTGATTTTCCCCTGCGTGTGGACTGCTACATGTCCTTGAATGTTCCATACACTATTGAGCTCGTCAAGCGTTGTGAAGCGGAAGGAATCAACATCGATTGGTGGGAGGAGTGTCTCAGTCCCGATGACTTTGATGGCCATGCCCTCCTCAAGCGGGCCCACCCCACAGTCAAGTTTACTACGGGTGAGCACGAATACTCTCGATATGGCTTCCGGAAGCTTGTCGAGGGCCGCAACCTTGACATCCTCCAGCCCGATGTGATGTGGGTCGGTGGCATGACAGAACTGCTCAAGATCTCGGCAATGGCTGCGGCATACGATATCCCTGTTGTGCCTCACGCATCGGGCCCCTACTCGTATCATTTTGTTGTTTCTCAGACCAACTCACCATTCCAGGAATACCTGGCAAACTCTCCCGATGGAATGACCGTCGAGCCAGTGTTTGGCAACCTCTTCGTGAACGAGCCCATCCCAACTCAGGGTTACCTCGATGTTTCGATCCTGGATAAGCCAGGTTTCGGTTTGGAGCTGAACCCTGCGGCGCCGCTAATTTCTGCTACCACTATCCTTACACCCGCCCCTAAGAAGAGCCCCACATTGCCCGCCGAGGACGAAAAGTTGACCAACGGCGCTGCTCACTAGATCGACTCTTTTATCTAGATATCCACGTGAAATGTCACGCTCTTGACGAAGATTCTTCTATTAAGCCATTTACTGTCCAGTTTTATTCTATTCCTGAATGTACATATGGATTAATTGCAATGTTTTGCTTGACAGACTGAACGATCAGAATTCTGTCAATGCTAGTACCCATCAGTACTATAGTTATCCGATACTACGGAGTAATTACCCATCAATTTCACACATAGAATCAATCACCCTGTTTTTGTTAATGAGCAACATGTTCTTGAGAAATACTCATCAGATTAGAAGTCGTGCACCCCTCTTCTACTTCCGCACATACGGGTCCTTCCTGTTCCCAGTCGGCGTTTGCTCCGATGCTACGGAGTATGTATGGAGTAGTGTGGGGAAGTGGGATGGGTTGATCGGGGTATCAATAGCACGAAGCCCGAACAAGACTCCACCAATTGCCGCTATCACTCTCTTATCACCAACCCCTCGGCGGGGTCCCTGGGCCAGCCAGGAGCCCTCATGTGAGAAAAAAGATCACGATCGAACCGGAGATCAACCATTATATCCTTGTGTATTGCTGGCTTCCCGTTAATTCCTCCTCCAATTGCGTCGTTTGAGTGAAAATCCGAAGTGTGGTAGACATACGTCGATCAGAAAACAGATCGTGTCGCGATGCCTCTTCCTCAGCTGTTGGTGGGAAAGGTTGCGGCCATTACGGGCGGATTGACGGGTATTGGTAGGGTATGGATTCTTATTCCTGGGAATCGCGACTCGACTAACTTGTTCCTCAGGCGATTGCTCTGGAGTACCTGCGTCATGGCGCAAAGGTAGCAGTTAACCATCTCGGACGTCCAGATGAAGAGCCGCTGCTGGAGGCGATGCGGAAAGATGTTGGCGAGATTACTGGAAGCGAGGGGGGACGGTTCATCACAGTAGCTGGAGATGTGTCACAGCCCGAGACGGGCCGGGACTTTGTCGCGAAGACAGTCGAGGCCTTCGGACGGCTAGACGTTTTCGTGAGCAATGCTGGAGTGTGCAAGTTTGAGGAGTTCCTAGAGTAAGTCAAGTCGCTTTACATGTCTTAGCTGCAAGCCGTCTGTACAGCTACTGACCGTTCGACCTGGCAGAGTTGACCCTCCACTCCTCGGGCACACGGTGAACACGAATCTCTGCGGAGCCTTCTACGCAACACAAGCGGCAGCACGGCAGATGGCCCTGGCCCAGTCGCCACCTGGCGGCTCTATTATCGGGATCAGCTCCATCTCCGCGCTGGTCGGAGGCGGACAGCAGACACACTATACACCTACCAAGGCTGGAGTGCTCAGCCTGATGCAATCGACTGCTGTAGCGCTAGGAAAGTACGGGATCCGATGCAACGCCTTACTCCCGGGAACTATCCGGACCAAGTTGAACGATGAGGACATGAGTGATCCAGTCAAGAGGACGTATATGGAGGGGAGAATCCCGCTGGGACGGTTGGGTCAGCCTCCTGATCTGGCTGGCCCGGCTGTCTTCTTGGCCTGTGATGAGTTGAGTGGCTATGTGGTGAGTGCTGATCTATATTTCTGGCTGTGGCTTTAGGGGAGTGCTACTAACAAATGAACAGACTGGAGCACAGCTTCTCGTGGATGGAGGGTTGTTTGTGAACCTGCAGTGATGATACTGATGTTTGTTGTGACGATCGTTATGCTGACGAGCGTGTTCTACATGACTTTGATGATAAGGGCGTATATATGTATATAATTGCCGCAGATTGCATATTCACATCATGATACCATACGCTTTGGCTGCAACCTCTCCCCAGAACCCCTTCTTCTGTTCATCAGTCAACCCTCGTCTCTCAAGGACATTCTCTACAACACTTTTCCAGCGATTCCAGGAGACTTCATTGCCTCGTCCACCTATATTGCAAACAGGCCAGTCCGATCCAAACATGACCCGCTCTGGACCGAATACCTCGAAAACAACGTCCGTCCATGGCTGTAGTCTATCAACTAGGGACGCGATGTCTGGATCAGGTGTCGAGGCAAGCGGAGGTAACTCTGAGAAGCCACCGGAGAGCTTCATGTAAGTTGTAGGATATTGAGCCATGGCGCTGACCAGAGACTTCCATTCAAGAAATTCGGGGTGAGAAGTTGTAGACTCAGGAGTCGAATAAGGCAGCCGAAGATTCGGTTTACAGAGATGGTCTTGCATGGTGCCTCGGTCAGTTCATCTGCATGTCAATCAGTTATTGGCTTGAACGCAACATACTAATCACCAGTGTCACTGCAGCGCCTCCATCATCCACACCCTCGTAGATTCTCTTCATCATCTCGACCGCTTCTTTCAGTTGCCAAAGACCGCCTTGCCGCGCGTCTACCCCAAGGTCGAAGGTCAGACCTCTGCTACCGAGATACTTGAGTCCGTCAATGAACCCTTGACTGAGCATGACACCCGACGGTTTATCTTGCACGAGGTATCGCACTCCGCATACTTTCCTCCAGACCTCCTCCGTCTGGGTCTTCTCCTTGACTAAGGAAAGATACTTTTCGAGTGCGGCAGGGCCCCCCGGTACGGGAGCCCAGGGAACAATCCCTAAGCATAGATGTCTATCGGCATCTCGATGTCCCTCACCCGCGATTGGTTTTCCCAAAGCAACGCGAGTCAGCAGAGACACTTCATCCAGAGCGTGCGACCAGCCAGCACCCGATTCTTCAACCGATGAGATGCGGTCTGTCTCGAGAAAAATGAAGCCGCGCAGGTATGTGTCATGTGCTGCGTCTGGAGATGTAGGTACTGCTGCTGTTGCTGCTCGATATTCGTCGACAGAGTGCTGCGATCCAAGCGGGTTGTTGGGACCATGCCATGCCAGGGTTGGGAGATGCGACTCGGGGAATAGATGGATGTGAGAGTCGACAATTGGAGTAGGCATTGCGTCGTTCTTGATGCTCCTCTGCAGTGGTCTTCGCAGAGATCCGCGACTCGTTCACCTGGGCTGCATCTGGGCTGCGCTGAATGCGGGGTAGGGCGCTTCAGATGTTACAAAGTTTCACAATGCATAAGCAACAAGGATTGGCGTAAGAATATGACATAAGTGAGGTTTCTTGTCGCTCGTCATCGAGATCTGTACTTTGTTGATTTCCCTGAAATAACACGATCGGCGACCATTATGCCGAGCGTACCACTTGGTTCCACCGTTGACTGTGGATGAACGAACAATCAGGCGAGTACCCTTTGAGCAATTTGCATGGAAGATATATACTTCTCCCTCGTCGAGTTCCATTCATACCTTGAGTTTTCTGAAAAGGTTTTGCTCGACCATAGATCCTGCCTGGGACAGGGAAAGTAACCTCTCCGAACCCCGCTTCGGCTGGCGACATTCTCGACCCCTCAATTGATTCTTCCTTCGCTCCCATCACACGCCTCGCACAAAAACGAAACAGGCATAATACCACACTTATACTCGTGCATCTTCCAAGATAAGCTGCCGCTGAGGTACAACCGAGGTCGTCTTCCCGCTTGACACTAAGTTGTTACCGTCGTTTCTCATACCGGCATGCGACTATGGCAGTCTGGAGCAAGCCATACCCCTCATGATCCGCCTTTTATACTCTTTTGATTGGACGCTGAAAGATGTCGAGTGCCAATTCAGTTATTGCCTAGACTTTGTGCCTTGCGCGAGCTCATGCAGTATACGCAGCATACGACTTCCAAGCTGTCGCATCCGAAATGCCTAGGCCTGCACATCTTGCTGCGGAAGAGTCGGTTGTGTGGTTGTGCCCAATTGCCGGCTAACTCTCCCCGCTCCATCTTTACTCCTCCTTTTCATTCAGGAGTAACGTAATATTCGACCATTGCAGGTAGCACAGACTTGGCAATGAAGATCAAATAGAGGTGGAGTAGATAAAGAGGGGTCCGAAGATCGTGGGACGGTGGGAGTGTTTGAACCACTCGGATTGCCACCTACACTTCTTCGCGACTTGTCTCTTCTTTCGCTTTTCCGTCAAACTGCACGTATACCACCAGAATAGAACCACATAAGCTCATATTGTCGATATGGCCGCCCCAGAGATTCCAAAGAAGCAAAAGGCGGCTGTCTATGACCAGCCTGGCACTGTGTCAACCAAGATTGAGGAGATTGATGTTCCGGAACCTGGTGCCGGTGAAGTTCTTATCAATTTGTATGTCTCGTGCTCGGAATATTTTTCCGTTGAAAGGAAACGCTGTGTTATTCTTCTGAACCAAAAACCGTGTTGTCTCCTTTGTACTGACAAAGACAATAGAACACACTCGGGTGTCTGTCATTCCGACTATGGTGTCATGACAAACAGCGTAAGTCATGTCCGTCTTCACCTGAAGCGGGACCCTGACGTCTCCTAGTGGAAGATGCTTCCACATCCTACGATGCCAGGACAAATTGGTGGGCATGAAGGAGTGGGCAAAGTCGTCAAGCTCGGCCCGGGAGCTGAATCATCTGGTTTGAAGATTGGGGACAGAGTTGGTGTCAAATGGATCTCGAGTGCTTGTGGAAATTGCCGTATGTGCCATCCGATATTCCAAAGCTTTCATGTGGCAATCTCGGACTGACAAACGAGCTTTGCAGAACCATGCCAGGCGGGCTCCGACGGACTCTGCTTTAAGCAGAAAATCTCCGGGTACTATACCCCAGGCACATTCCAGCAGTACACCGTGGGGCCAGCGAACTATGTCACACCGATCCCAGACGGGCTTGCCTCGGACGAGGCAGCCCCCATGCTCTGTGCGGGTGTGACAGTCTACGCTGCCCTTAAGAGAAGCCACGTCCGACCAGGGCAGTGGGTCGTCATCTCTGGCGCTGGTGGTGGACTGGGACACTTGGCAGTCCAACTGGCCAGCAGGGGAATGGGTCTGCGCGTGGTCGGCATCGACCACGGCAGCAAAGAAGAACTAGTCAAGGCCTCTGGCGCAGACCACTTTGTGGACATCACCAAATTCCCCTCCGACGACAATGGCGCGTCTATCGTCGCTCATGTCCAGTCGCTGACCGATGGCCTGGGTGCACATGCCGCTCTTGTCTGCAACGCTTCGAATGCCGCATATGCCCAGGCTCTCCTCATGCTGCGTTTTAATGGCACGCTTGTGTGTGTGGGTATCCCCGAACATACTCCTGTACCCGTCGCAACAGCAACTCCGGGAATAATGGTCGCCAAGCATTACACAATCACTGGTTCAGCCGTTGGAAACCGAACCGAAGCTATCGAGACTTTAGAATTTGCAGCACGGGGTGTCCTCAAGGCTCACTTCCGCACCGAGAAATTGGAGAACTTGACGGGCGTTTTCCAGGAAATGGGCGAGGGTAAAGTTCAAGGAAGAGTGGTTCTGGATTTGTCTTAAGCTGTCGGCATCAGTTGATCTATCACGAGGACGTTTGTTAAGCATGCGTCAATTTAATTTTTATTGTCGTCCTTTGTGTTGAGGCCTGTCTACTTGATCCCGGTAGGATTTCAACCATCCTGATCCTGTCGCTCTGTGAGTTTCGCTATAAACATTATTGCTGAAAATAATAAATGATGAAGCTGCTGAGGGCATAGATAGTAAATGGACGCCTGTCGTAAACGGCTTCGAGCATAGGAAACGGCAGAGATAGGTGGAGGATTGAATATCAAAAAAACTGACCGACGCAGGATTCGAACCTGCAATCTCTTGATCCGTAGTCAAGCGCCTTACCATTGGGCCAGCCGGCCAAACTTATTAGAAAATAAGCAAATCTAAGTATATAATAGAAATTCTCAAGGGATAATCACTGATTGCTTGCCAATAACTAAGTTTATGAAGCTTAATGTAGGCTCAAATAACGAAGCGCCTTGGCCATGCCACTATCGGTGGATGTTCAGTAGATAGCCTTGGTTTATTTTGTTCATATGTACTGCTGATCACAATATATTTTGAGCTTCACCTTTAGTTTTGAATCGCGAAGTGGATGTCGATATGTGCTATATATTTATCGATATGTTGTTGGGTAGGTGGGGATCGAGATGACCAGCATACTGACTATATGGGAATATCACTCCTTTTCCAGAAATCCACAAGTTCGAAGGAAGCACAATAATCATATTAAACGCACAAGGGTATCTAGATAAGGAATAAATCAGGAAAGCAAGAATATGTACGGACAGTCAACCGAACCACACACACAATGACTTGTAAGTTGCAAGATCATCGACTGCGTTTGGTATCTCCACCAGACGTAGCCGTGGCCGGGCGTTTCTGCCCAGATGTAGTAGAAGTCGATTCGGCCAGGCGTACTAGAGCGCCCAACTTCAGAATATAGGCTTTGGGAGCTCTATTCACCTCGTTCTTCTGCAGGATCCTGCCCAGTCTGTCTGCGAATCCACCCAAAACCGCGGGCTGTAGCTTCTCGAGCGCATCGAGTATGAAGAAGTCCCCGGTCTCGTCTGTTCTGCCGATGAGCTGGTGGTAAAGATTCCGCTGGTCCTCATCCTCTCCGTGAAATGTTGCCCGCCCCCATGTATTACCGTCTAGAGAATCCTTGTTCCGGCTGCAGATGTCCTCGAGCAGTGTCACGAGGGCCTTTGCGGCGCCTTCCATGCCATGCGGTGCGCGGGCAACGATGTTTTGCTCAATGCGGTTGACGTTTCGTTGCAGCTGTTCGACAACATCGTCGACATCCAGACCCGTGCTGTCTGCAGGCAGCTGCCCTACTTGACAATAGCGATCAAAGTCAGCCAGGAGCCTGCGCGTCTTCTCCTGCATCTTGTCGAAATAGATCGCCGCACAAGCGCCGGGAGGCATCGCCTTGCATAGACTGGAGAAGACAGCGTCATCATGTAGGGCTAGTCGTACCATGGTGGCTTCAAAATCACCCTGGACCACGCACTGTTCTGGAGTGCGTGATTGATCTGCATGTTCCACGAGGTCATTGCGAAAGTCTTCGAGGACTGTGGATGTACTAAAGGCGGAAATGATATCTCTCACTTTCTGGAGGCGACTCATGCCCCCCTCCCACTCGCTGCGAAGATACTGCCAGTTTAGCTGTTCAGCTACGGCCTCAAGCTTGCCCTCAAGAAGCTGCTCAATACGGGGGAATTCCTCAGAGAACCCGTTTTCTGACAACGGCACATCAGATTCGGGTGGCTGGGAGATGAAGCAGCCGTGTAACTGATCAAGAAGCCACTATGACTGACGATCAGCAATCGAATATGATCTGATCGGTAGGTACCAACTTACGAAAATATGCTGGCAGGCCACCTCAGGATGGCCCGAGAAGGTCAGACAGGTGCACGTATAAGCATCAGATCCGATATGAACCCGCGGCCGTTCTGACAACTGAAAATCATAGCCCCCCGATATCGAGCAGCAGCCGACAACATCAAAGTGACTCGTCAGTCCAACAAGCGCCCTCGCCTCCGAGTCACCGTCCAACCGAGCGAGGTCATATACGATGCCGGAGTTCGCCTGGACGGCTGACAGCCCAGCCGACTCTTCTCCGCCTGACCGGCTCTCTATACTGGAGCTATTCATCGCAGCGCCGCCTTCAGTGAATGCTGACCCCTCCGCCTGCGAATCCATAACTGGAACGTCACCACCTATCGAAAGTCTGTGGAGATGCCTCGTGGGCGTAGACATAAGATCCGAGACACCAGTCGTGCCAATGAACAGTTCCCGGTTAAAAATCCCAGGATGGTACTAGCACGCTGAGATACAGCGCGGACATGCCCAATTTATACGAACACCCGCAGAGTCCGCATCGAACCATGGATGGGAGCGGGTACCATGATACAAGCAAGAGCCAACAGAATGCGCCAGTCTCTCTCACGAGCGCAGCGAACAGCGGCAAGTCAGTCGCATATCCCTTCATGCCGGGTCGCGGGATCCGGATTTTGAGGTTCGAGCTGCGCCAATTTTGCCATTCACCTTTGCCGCAGAACTATCACTCCTGGACGTCTTGGTATGATGGTTTGGACTTTTGGAAAGCGGATAAATTGTCATTGTCGTCACCTCAACCGAAGCACTAGCTTGTGCCAAGGACCCAGGAATGTTCAAAATTGCTCTCAAGACTCGGGGGCTAGAGAACCATGGTACAAGTCCCCGAACGGTGTCGGAGTGCGCAGGACAGGACGCATCCTGACCGGCAGATCAGAGGGACTACTAAATCACAAGACCTCTGCTAGAGTCACGACCTAGAAACTATCAGAACGGGTTCTATCTTTGCACAAAATTTTGGCGAATCAAAATGCTGACCTTTGGTGTCGAAAACTTTAAGACAGCGGTAAGATCCCCAGATTGACTGCAAGAAGTATAGAGCCTTGTAAGGCTTATCGGAGGAGGTGGATTGAAGACAGCTTCGATGACCTAGCAAGTGACAAGCATCGAGAAATATGAAAAATGGGTGGATGAGACGTCGTCTTTCTCTGTCCGATGCCGCATGAGCTGAGTTGTATAAATGAGGCTTGAGCAACAAACGACCAGCGGAGTTGAGGCTCAGGCTTGTGCCGCGGGGCGCAGCAATTGTTTGAGATGCGGCACAGCAACATTCTTTGCAAACTACATTTACTACATACGAAGTAGACGCTTGGTCGTAGATGCCAGAGGGATGAATTGCCATGTCTGATTTGATTTCCTTTCTTCAATTTCTAACGACACAGAGCATGTGGACTTGCGGGGGTATCTAATCAAACTGACCGATGTGTATATCTTGGCCAACTCAAAACAGAATTGACGTATGCATTGCAAATTAGTAAGACTTGGAAGGATAAAGGGGTATAGTCAAGGAAATTCGTTCAGTCATAATCTCTGTGAGTCGCAGCGAACAAAAAAGAAAGACCAGGAAAGTGATATATATTCCTGAAAGCCTCAAAGAAAGAAATGCTTGAGCGGTGCCGAGCACACTTGTTATCAAGCTGACAAATTACGAACTTCCCCTCGCAGCGTTCCTCCTCTTCGCATCCTCCAGGGCTTTCCGAAGCCGCTCCTGGTGCTCAGGATCTCCGTCCTGCTTCCTGGGCCCAGGGGTCACCGTAGGCGGACGAGGACCTGGCAGCAGGACATCCATAGGGTGCACAGCAGGAATGGTCTCGGAAGACATAGGCTGCTCTACCATTGGTGTTTTGCCCAACGATTCAAGCAGATCATTGATTCTAGCAATGACCTTGGAGGGACCAACCCGCACACTCTCCATTTTCGAGTGGAGATCTTTCTGAATCTTCGCATCTTCCTTCTTCTTCTCGTCGTCGAGTCGGCGGAAGATCTCAGGATCAGCGTTGGAGTAGCGAGCTTCAGCGACAGAAACACTGTAATCCGCGTTGTTGAGGGCCGTGTCAGCGACACCAAAGCTGTGCAGGATGGATTCCGAATCCTGCCGCAAGGATTCGACCAGAGTGAAAACGGATTTCAACAACTGCTCAACCTCAGTTACTGCTAGACCAGACGACTGGATCGCCTCAGAATCGATCCGTGTCACTTTGGCAGTGACCTCATCCAAGAGACTTTGGTTCTCGCCTAGTCCGAGTATGATTGCGTTGTCAAAGGTATCCATAAGCCTGTTAGCCCGATCGTCTCGCGCCTTGGCTGCTTCGAGTATATTTCGCTTCTCCATCTGATCAAACTCCCCGTCCAACTTTTTCAGAGCGGCAGAATCTCCCATGAACACAAGTGGGCGTCGCTCTGCCTTCTTGCGCCGGTGCTCACGGTCCAGGGCGATCTCAAGACGCTTGTAATAGCGTATTTCGAGCTTCTGATAGATATCATTTACGACCTTCATCGTGTGAGACAGGTTGTACTTGTCGGTGACAGAATCCTTGATCTTGCTGTTTTCATGGTCGAGTTGCGCGAGGGCAGATTCATAATGATCCTGAAGCGCGGAAATTTCCCCCTTCAGGCGCTCATCCAGTGGATTGAAGACCTTAGCGACGAAATCGTCCAACTCCTGTCTCTCTTCGTCCAGCTGCACACGCGCTTCTTTCTGGCGAAACTCTTCTTCCAGAACATTAATATCGACATAGCCAATTTCCTTCTCGTTGAATAAGTCATCAATATGCTTCTCGGACTCCTCCTGCCGTCGCATACGCTCTCGGTCAGTCTTCTCGCGACGAATCTTGGTAGAAGCCTCCCAAGTATTGACGGCCTCGCGGATGTAGCTGAAGTCATCCGAGTATTTCTCCAAACCCCTTCTGGTTGTAACGTGCCATGAGCTTTCAGACTGCTTAGCTAATGGCGATGAGACCATAGAACGCAGGTCATCGATCGGACTACTACTCTTTCCTTGCGGAAAAGCCGCCGGTAGTGGAGGGGGCGAGGATGTCCTTGGAGAAGTTTTATTCCTATAAGCGACGCTTTTCTCTCGGATAAGCCCGATGAAAGTTTCGTCGAAGTCTTTTTGAGCCACTGAAGACGTCACAGTACTCGACCTGTTCCGATTCGGTGCGTTGGGCGCGTTCGACATCACACGACCGCTTTCCGCGGACGCTTGACGCAGCGCAGAGTATGCCTGGTACGCAGGGCGATCAAAGGTAAGGTCATCAGAGCCACGTTGAGGGCCCTCAGTGTATCGAAAGGGAGTGTAAATGGGCTGCGGGGGGTTTGTTGCTAACGGGGAGAATGTCTTGTCATTCATGGAGGGCGGGACTGATGTAGCCCGCGAGATTGGATTTTGAGCATTCGACGAGAAGTCTCTGCTTACCTTTGCCTTGAAGGCATTAGGCTGCGAGGCTGACCTGTGCAAACCCGACGGTTGGGGCGTGTGCAGTCGGGGAAGAATTGGACGCCCTCCTGGACTATAGCGGCCATCTTCCGGTTCCCCAAGGGCATCGTTAGAAGAAATCTCCGCATCATATCCCTCTTCTGATTGGACTGGAATCAAGCCCGACTCGACGGGAGGAGATGTTGAATGCTGCCGGTTCGGTAACGATTGTGGCGCATCTTGATCCTTCTTCTGTTCAGGTTCGATGTTGTACAAGATCTCACGCAGTTTTGTTTCCTTGGCCATGAAGGCCGTGAATATCTTGAAGCGCTCCTCGTCAGAATCAGCAACCTCCTCTTTTCGCAGCATCGCTACATAACGTGCCAACGATGACTTGGACCAGGAGTCTAGATCTTCGTAGGGTTCTTGTGGTTTGGGCTGCGGGCTCGCTGTGTTTGGTCTCCCACCACTAGTTTCACCTGCGGCACTGCTCGACGCAGGCGTAGCCGTGCGCGACGGGACTTCCTTCCGAGGAACCTTGAATTCCTGCTTCTGTTGTGTGATATCGACAGGGCTCGACCCCCGCGTTGAGGACCTGGTTTCGGGCCCTGAGGCCAGACTCTCCCGAGATTGCTCGACAGCGGATTTGTTCTGTGGAGTGATTGGTTGGTTCCAAGCTTCGATAACGCCATCAATACTTTCAGATGCTTCAGTAGCCGAGATAATACTGTATTCGGTGCCGCTACTATTTACCCTAACAGGACGGGGCGGATCACGCATATCCGGCGTAGTGCTTGGACTAACCGGTGATTCGCTGTCATGATGCTGCTGAGGTATGGGCTGCTGAGGGTATGCAGGCTGCGCAGACGGTGAGGTCGTCGTTGGTGGAGTATATACACTGGGTTGGTTACCGGATTCAGGCGTAAAGGAAGCTGGCTGACTTGGAAGTGAGTCGGCTACAGTCGAGGAATTGATTGGATGGTTCTGCTTGCGTTCGGGTATCTCCACGCCCACTCCTGTCCCGGGAGCAGGTGCCAGGTACTCCCAATCTGACGGGGTCCCAGACCCCAAGCCATAATTGGCTGGGAACACGTTAGGACCGGTCTTGGGTGGTACTGGCGGAGCAGTTCCATGCTCGTTTGGCAAGGTCTGGGGCCAACGTTGCTCTGCAGGCGGAAGCTGCTGGGCGGGAGGTGGAGGACTCATGCTTTGGGGAAGCCCTGAGCTGGCTTCGGTTGCAGGTGCTGAGGCTGAGTAGGACGACACCTGAAGATTTTGACTGGAAGGAAATCCTGCGTAAGCAGGGTGGTTCGGCTGTTGCCATGTCTGGTTGTCTAACGGTGTGGGTTGAGTCTGGTAACTTGGGGGAATTGGCGGAGGTGGAGGGGGAGGCGGTAGAGGCGCAAGAGCTTGCTGGGACGGGTGTGAGGCGCCTGTTGTCCACTGCTGATGATTCTCAAAGAAGGGAGGCTGTGAGCCATACCCAGGAGGAGGTGGCAGAGGCTTGTGATGGTCAGGGGAGCCGACAGTCGGGGACTGAACTTGCGCAGGATTAGGGTGCTGATGCTCCGTCACACTTGGGGGTCGGGGCTATATAAGACCGAGTAAGCATGAGGTCGTCCACGTATAACTGCGCGATAATTCAGATACTCACAGGTAGCGGCGGAGGCGCCAGAATCTGATGCTTATATCTCACTCCCCATGACGTTGTATTCAGGCCGCCGGGAGCACCATACACGGGTGACCCACCTGCGCCAGGTGATATATTGGAGATAGATCCGTACGTATTAGGATGATATGAAGGAGCTGCAATAGGCGCAGGAGGAGAAGGGGGCGGGGGAGGTGCCACAGAACCCGTGGACCATGAGGATTGCTGGTGTTGAGTTGTCGT